TCAAAGTGATGTTTCTGAGACCTTGGGGTTTGTTGAAATGTTGGCTCGGGCTCAGCCTCCTGAATGCCCCATGACTCAAGATGCGTGAAAGCAAATGGATCAGGGGACGATGCCTTTTGACCTTTTGGAAATGCATTCAGCTGAGCGAGGAGGAGGATATAGGACAAACATCTGATAGAAACATCACCCAGCGCTGCATGTAACTGACTGAACAGGTGGAATCATTAGTCTGGATCACATCCCAGAAGGTTTTTATGATGATTTTTTTAAAATGTGCCCATGTTCTTTCTGAGCAGAGTTGACTCAGTGGCTTCCAGGAACAGGAGTGTGATGTCGTTCCAGGGTGCCTACCAGTAGATCTTCCTTTTAGTCATATGATACCGTGCACTAACTTCAAGTAGCCGCAGAGTTTGTTGTAGCTAAACAAGTTGTCCAGTTCAATTTTGCTTTCTTCTCAATAGAAAGTGTGTGGGTGGGTGAGGAAAACAACAAGAGATACCACCCCCTGCCCTGCCTCTGTCCCTGCCAAAGGATAGGTGTGCTCATTCCTCCCGGGTGGTCTGTCAGGGTGGTAATAAAACTGCCTTTGCAAACCCACAAAAGGAGCTTAATTCATTCCACCACCTTTCCCTATTCTGGCAGAATTCTCAATTTCTTCCTAACCAGACATTTTCTCCCTAAAACTAATGTTGCCTTCAGGTTGTGAAAATCTTGCATGAATTGCTGGATTGAGCAGTGCAAGGAGGAATATAATGAAGAAAAAGATATGCTCAGTGGATGGGATGGGAAAAAGGGTTGTCACTGAAATGTCAGAGCCTGTGTCAGAAAAGGAGAAGAAAAAACTTGGTGGCTCCTCTGGTTAAGCTCATGCAAGGGGTTTGCATTGCAGTTATTGCTACTGTGTTTCATCCAGAAAATAAAGAAGAATGGATTTATGGTAAAATAATGGATTGGGACTTGCATCTCCAGAGTGTTATTTTCTGACTGTCAGAGGTTCTGACCTCGGAACACTTCCCATATCTGTGTGTCTCACCTCTTCCTCATCTGTAATGATAATAGTACTCCTCTGAGTCCTCCTCTACTTCAGAGTGGTCATAAGAGGAACAGTATTTTGATGTATGTGAGGTCCTTATCTTAAACAGTAGTAGGTATTATAGAAGGGCCTAAATAGACAGTCAAGCCTTGGAAGTTCTTGGGCAAAGGAGCTTTTTATACACCTGAGGTGCCAGCACCAGGAGTTGTCTGAGAAAACCCATTGTATTCTCTGACTTGCTCTGATTCTGTGTTTGACCACAGCTTACAGGGGCTGAGCGACCCCTGAAAACTGAGTGGCCCTGGTGACAAACGCAGAAGAGGGTCAGCAAGAACCTTTAAGTGCAAGACAGTCATGGGTGCTGCATTCTTCAGATCAACACCCTGAAGCCTGAAAAGGAAATTTTAAGGCTCTGTGAAAATTATACCTAATTCTTTGTGATGGCTGTGGTGCTGTAGAGGAATGAAATGGGTGGTTGGGGGAAGGGAATAGGTTTGCATTCTGTGGGGCTATGAAGACAGTTTCCTTGCATCCTTCTCCTCAGCTCAGTCCTTGCTCGGTACCCTCTGCGGTTAGATTATTCCTTGCAGATAGCAATCAACTGGAAGGAAGTGTGTGTCTAATTTGCATGAGATTATTTAAAACAAAAAAAAAGGTCTGCATTAGTCAGGGTGATGGTAAACAACGCAAAGAGATGCCTTTTATAATATAGCTGTGGCTCAGCTTTCAAAGCCAAATATAATTCACTTACAATTGGCAGTTTCCTTTATTGTTCCTTTTAACCTTTTACGTTCTGCATGGTCTTGATCTTGCTGCAACTCCAGAAGAACTGAAAGGTTTGTTTTCCAAAGTGTTGAGAAGGTGGACTTGGACCAGTTTTTCTCTTAAACTCAGACATACCTATTTGAGAATTATATTAGACGCAAAGCTCCAGTGTTTGTGGCACTGCTTTGGCATCCAAGAGAATCTTCCTGCTAGATTAGAGCAATGAATGGACCATGAACACTTTTTAATATAAAGCAGTAATAGAAGGACTTTGAGATATTGGAACAGATGATACTTTGGTCTGGTTTAGAAATTCCCACTTTTCTATGTAATTAATATATCAAGGTTGAATAATTTGGCACATGGAAAACCCATGCTGTGTGCATACATGTGTGTAGGGGGTGAATGTGAAAAGAAGTCCTAAGGAATTTCCAGAGGGAATTTTGATGAGTTGTAATTGCCTGAGGACAGTCAGAATGTCTTGTATGGTTTTGTTCCTGTGTGTGAGAAATGACAACCATGAAGGCAGGTATTTCTGAATCCACAGATGACTAGTTGCAGTGCAGACTCACTCCATATATATGCTTAAGGAATCGGCTCCAGGAGATTATTCCCTTGATGCTTGGAGGCCAAGATGACAGGGCCTTAAAAACATCTTGTTTGGTTGAATAAAAAGGTGTTCCAAGGTGATGGCAGTCCCAGCCCTCTCCTCTGATAATTAAGAAGGGATGTAGCTGTGATGTTCTTTTGTACCATGAACAAGACCACTTCACAAGGCAGCAGAATAGTCCAGGGATGTAATAACCAATTTTAATTTGCACTACTTTGCACAGGATTCAAACCAGGAATTCAAATGTGAAAGATTTTCCATCATTCTATCATTCACATCAGGTTTCTCTCCACAGTACAGCAGGGGTTTAATGGGAACAGTGATACTTGAGTGTCCCTAGTTGGCAAGAGCAGAATAATTCTAGAAGTGCATTTAATCTCAAACAGGATGAGAACAGAAGGGGCAAGATGGTTAGGAAACAATAAGTTTTGTTTCATGCTCTCTTTGTAGAAAGAGGTAAGGATCCTCCATAACTTCTGTACATTTCTAAGTGTTAAATATTATCAGATTAGCATGGAAGTAGGACAAAATGCCCTATTTTAGTGGGAGCCACGTTTGCAGCCAGCAGCTAATGTTATCTCCATCTTTATGAAATTCCATAGTTGCTAGTGATCTGCAGTGTTGGCATGTGTTTACGCTTTCTCCTACATTGGATAATTAGGAGCTGGTTAAAACAGTTTCTTTCTGATTAGGACTTTCTAGCATGGCTTAGACACCATAAATATTGCTTTTGTGACTAGAACAATGGGCTGAGTTGTGTTCCTGTGCCTTTTATTACTCTCACTGCAAGTCTTGTTCCATACTGTTAAGTGGGGTTTGGTTCCTTACTACTTGAGGCATGCATCAAATACAATTAAAAGGATTGCAAGACCAGAGGTCAGGAACTTCAGATTTCTGATGCTGTTTCTGACACTGACAATATTCTGTTATGTTAGAGAAATCACCTCATTTCTCTGTGCAACAGTATTTGCACTGTAGAGTAGATAGAATAGTATCTGGCAGGAACTCAGAGTCTCTCGTGTACTCACAGGAATAGGGAAAAGATCTGTTAATAGTTATAAAGCCTTCTGAATACCAGAAGCACTGTGCTAGTGCTTTATGATATTAAATAACAGTTCTGAGACAGACTTGTGTATTTATTTCTGGCATTACTGTTTGTGCTACAGGTTATTCTGTCTAGACCCCCAGTATGCAGGGAAGTTTAAGATCATGAAAAAATCATCAAAACTTAGGGCCTGCCCATTTTCCACATTCTGTCTCCCTTATGTTAAAAAGCCAAGTGTTTTAAAGGGTTAAGTTGACGATTTTCATCTACCAGATCTTCATGGATCTCGAGTGGAAGTGATGGAAAGCATTCCCCCATTTTTATCCCACTGCTGTCATATTCATACCATTTTCCTCACTGCCCTCAGTCCCTAGAGCAGCTGTGTGAGAATCGAGGGGTCTCTCTCTTCTCTTCTAAATCTCTTTCCTTAAAATCTATATTCTCGCTTCCAGCTTTCCTGAATGTTTTTGCTTACATGCTGCTTGTATAGTAAAAGGTCCTGAATCACTTCATATGTTCCTTGTGGCAGGGACACTGGCTTTCTACCTGCTTCTGTGCAGGAGAACAGCAACAAATAATACACAACTGCCCAGGCCCCACATCATGGTTGCCATCCGAGTCTTAAATTCTTTTTCTAGAGGATGTTTTCTCTCGTTGGGAAAAAATAATGCAGCTTCTTTACAGATGCTGGTCCTCGTGGATCCTTTAGCTGCTTTTGTTTTCCCCCTTGTTGGCCAAATCTTTTCCATATGTTGTGGCCAATTACAGATGGTCATCCTGGCATTTCCTGATGGCAGGAGTGACTGCACCAACATGTACCATGTGTGCAGCGTTACTACAGCTCCGCGTGAAATAAAAGCCAGGCTGCCTTAGGGCAATCTAATCACGCAGCCATAGGCCGGGGCAATGCTAACGCTGAAAGTTTAGGCTCGGCCTTGTTTTGATCTGTTTTGTTATAGTTTTATTTCCTCCTTGCATTCTGTGTCCCATTCATACTAATCACAGTCAGTCCTGATTTTTTTCCTTTTTATTTCTGCATTTGTCATAAAATAAAGCAAATTATTCCCGTCTTCGGAAACGATGTAGACTAATTAGTCGTCTAACCCAATAATTAGGTTTTTGTTTCCCTGTCTGTTTTCATGCATTATTGTTAGTTTTTTCCCCTCTTTTTTTTTTTTACACCATTACAGATTAAAATGAGCCACATTTGCAGTTGATGGTATCTTTTTTTCGGGGGAAGAATGGAGAATTGCAATAGAAAGCTACTTCAAAAGCAGCAATAAACTCAAGGATAAATTAAGGAAATTGAATGAGCCACATTTGGAAGCAGCGTTGAGGCTAATATTCTGTCGCTTAAGGTTAAATTGCAACAGAGAAAGAGAGAGGGAGACATTCCAGTGAATCCAAAATTGGGGAGGCATTACTGCTCAAGTCAGTGCCAAAATCCTTTGCAGCTTGAAAGGGTTCTGCCTGGCTTGAGAATTTAATTATGCGTGCATCAAGTGGGTAAAGGTGCTAAACTGATTTCATTTCCTCTGCTCCCCCAGGCCTGACAGATGAAGAAATTGACCTGGCTTTCCAGCAGTCGGGCACAAGCACGGATGAGCCACAGTCCCCAGGTCTTTCTACACAAGTGGTGTCAGCTCAGCCCTCTCACCCAGTGGTGTATAGTAAGTAACACTTCAAAAACCATCTGGTTCTGTTGCTTTCTGCAGTGATTCCTCCAGCAAGTTCACAGATTTCTGTGCTAGATCCTAGATTTCAGGTCAAATAATGCCATACTGTTTGTCAGAATTGGATCCCAAATGTTACTTCAGATGCACTTTGTGGTTATTGATGCCCATGACAAGATCGTATTACCCAAGAAAAAGAGATACAAATGATCATTGTCTACAAACAAACATCATGCATACTAGCCTGTGACACCCCTTCACCTGAAGGGCTATAGTCAATACAAATTAGATTCTCACCGACTATGATGCTTGAAAAAAAGCATTTAGTCAGCATAGGACTCAGTCTTCCCTTCTAAAACTTACAGTCATGCTTCCCTTCATCAGTAGGGTTTTCTAATATTTAGATCATAAATATGTGATAAAGCTGATAGATTCTTGGGTAGAAGGTGCTGTAAAAGGGCAACCCTATTTCATCTTATTGCAGCAGTGGACTCTGTTCAATAAACTGTTGGACATCGACACAGAGTTTTGTTTTAGCTAGAGGACTCACTATTTTCACTAGTCAGGCAACCAGTTCATAGAATCACAGAATAGCTCAATTGGAAGGAACCTGTAAGAATCTTGGAGTCCAGCTCCCTGCTTCTCTCAGAACTACCTACAATTAAACCATATGAGTAAGAGCATCATCCACATGCTTCTTGAACACTGACTATTAATGCCTTCAACAGTTACATGAAAGAGGTGTATTTCCAGCATGAACAGCAAGCTGGAATATAAGGTCTTCAGAACATAGTCTGTGACTTCGTGTGTGTGAATTTAAGGTCTGGCACAATGGAACCCCAGAGTGAATGAGCTTTAATAGTGCTGTCAGGTTGCAAATAACAACAAACAGTTAATATGAATCCCTAATTTTAATAAGCTCTTCCTCTTCAATCTTAAATAATCTGAGGGGTGACAGCAGAAATTCTGTGGACGTGCTTGTATGATTTTGTGTACAAAATACACTCTCAAAGAATTTTTCAAGTCCCAACATAATCTGTGTAGACTCAAAATTTACATATATATTTGCATTTTAAAACAAACCTCGCAAAAAAGTATCTAAGCTCCAAACAATAAAAACCAAAGTACACACCATTAAAAATCCATCAAAAGAAGCTGTTTAGCTCACATGTGTGTCTGGCAGTTTGAAAATCACTTCACTTACCTGCCAAGTATTAAGAATAGGGTTTTGATACTGCTCCTAAACAGCTCTAGGTCAGGTTCTGACTGATGTAACAGTCCATTTATGGCTGTGTTTATTAGTTTATGGCATAGCTTTCCTATTGCTAGAGACAACACTAAACTTGCTTTCTGAGTTTTTTAATACTCTGGTTTGGCACAGTTAGGGAAGAAAAACATTTGTGATGGAGTTGGGCTCAGAACTGGAATATTTCCACACTGGGTGTGCTGGTGAGCTCAGGACTGAATTCTGCCTCCTGGGCTAATACCTGTCTGCTGTAGCTCACAGAAAATGCCAGAAAGCACAATCTGTTCTCACAATGAAAAACCAGTGCCAGATCCCTCTTAGTGCTGTCCCTAACTCTTATCCCAGCCCAATATTGGAGGAGTTAATCTTCCCATATTTTATAGTGTTCCACTAGTAAGGGTAGGGCAGGAAAGAAGTGTACAATTCAAAGTGTAAAGCACTGTCATCATTGTTAACCCCTGTAGCTTTATCACTTTATGGGATTTTTTCATTTTGCTATTTTGGCTTTCTTCAAAGCCCCAGCTCCCAATACTTGCTGGGCAAAAATCTTAACTAATATTTAAACACCAAAATGGTCCCAGTAACAGCTCCGAAGAGAGGTCTGAAGGCATCATTCTGTAATGCCCAGAAACCAAAGGTGAATAGAAATACCACCAAAGTAAAGCTTTTGAAGGGGTTGCAGTTGTAAAGCAGCGCTCCAGCTTTGTGATCTGATTGCTGCTTTTAAAATCATTTGAACCAAAGCCTTTTGCCTGTGAGGAGGCCCTTCTTAGCAACCCCCAAAAAGGGGGAAGTGGTGATAACAGTTTCTTAGGTATTGTTCCTCCTTGCTCCAGCCATTCTTTGTAGACCTTCTATTTAATTTTAACCTCTTAATGGATGTAGGAAAAGAATAAAAAGCTAAATATATTTATAAAAATAAATATATGGTATTCATTTGACCAAAATACTTGTTTTGATCAAGTATCATCTGTGCCCTGTTCTAGTCTTTGACTGGTGTAGTACTGATGGATCCATCTTTGTGTCTTCCTGCTACATGCTTTGCATGGTATCAGAACAGCAAAAAGAGTATGTGGATTTCTCTAGAGCTGATGGATGTGGCTGTGCAGAGGTTCTTTCAAGGTGCCTTGTTTGCTGTAGGTTATTTCATCTGTTGGATGATAATGCTGTAATGAATATTTCTGAATTGGTCCAAATCTGCTCCGGGACAGTTGTTTCTGTGACAGTTTACTAAGTCAATTTATCTTTCACAGATTTGTTAGGCGTTGTCATGTACAGAGAAAGACAGATACTACTTTTTGTCTATCTGTTATGCTTATCTTCTTGCAGAGTATTCATGACATTAGTGTTGAAATGCTTCAAGGTCTGAAGTTCAAAAGTATATCTGAATGACTAATGAGATAGGTAGACTGTTGAATCTATAAGTTAACTCGGTGGTGGGAGCAGCTCACACTGGAAAAGCTTATATTGAAAAAAGATTATGAGCTATATTTGCCTTCCCCAAAAAAGACATCTGAGTTTCTTGTGAAGCACCATCTGATCTGCTGGAGTTTAGGTCTTGAAGTCTGTGAACCACTCTGTGTTTGATATTTTTGGTTCTTTTAAAGTTTTTTTTTTTTTTGAGTAGTTTTGACACCTCTACAAAAAATCACAAAACTAGAGAGAAAGTCTTACCCCCCACAGAGCAAAAAGGAGAAAGAGCTGAGGAAGGTACTGTGCTGAAAAGCAGTGGCTAGTGCCTTCAGAAACCCACTTTCTTCTCCATCTCTCCTCCCCACAAGGTGTTGCTGCTTCATGTTTAAAAATCATGTTAAAACCCTGGTTTCCAAGTACAGAAGTTGAGGATGGCTTCAAAACCATCTCAAGAGTTTCTTAAGAAGGAATGGAGCAAACAGCTGAGTTGGTGATCTCAGCAGCATTGCCAGTGTAGGATGTCCGTTCTTGTGAGTCAGAGCAATAAATCCTGTGCACACCTTTTGATTTTTCTTAATCTCCTGCTGTTGTCAACCCAGTCTCTTCTCATTTTTAAGGTTACAGGAAATAATTTAAATCCTTCCTTTTATACAAATGGAACTGCTAGTGTAGTTATTATTTTATGTTCTAATGTTTTATTGGAAATAGCTGTCACCTAGGTAAGTACGTCCTTATTCTTGAAATAAGCATGTATTATAAGCCTTCATTGTAGCATAGTCCCAGTATGCCCAACTCCTCTTAGTTTGCTCTAAGAGAAACACTAATAACTTTGGGGAGGAAGAGACAAGAATTAAGTTAAGTTTCTAGACACTGTATTTTCACTCAATACCATCTCTAATATTTCCCCTCCTGTTCTGGAGGAGTAATTCCTTCCCTCCAGTTTGTACTTTTGCCAAGAGGTGTCAAAACTGCTTAAAAAAAAAAGCTTAAAAAAAGCTTGAATTTGATTAATATAGAGAAACAAGACTTTGCCTGACTGATAATAAAACTGATAAATGACATTTGAATTACTTGTAGCAGTAATTTATTACATAAAATATCTTTTATTTGACATGCGATTAGTTGCTGGAAGCATCACTCAATCTGACTAGTTTAAACATGCTCTAAAATGAACCCCCAGTAAAAAAACAGGGCTGTCTGCTGTTGGCATTATGAAACACACTAATCCAGCAGTGAGGACAAAAATCTGACTTTAAATATTTAAATGATGAATTGGGTTTATTTTTTTTTTTTTTTACCTTTCTAACCCTTATAATTACAAGCAAACTCAGGGGAGTTTCTAAGCAAGGTGTGCAAAGCTGCCTCATCATCCAGTTCATCACCAGTATTCTTCCCCGTGGTGTTCACGGTTTCCATTTATGGGGGTTTGTGCAGATTTTACACCTGCTTAAAAATCAGTGACTGCTTTTCTTGCCATTTGGATCTTCTTCTCCCACCCTTGTGTCTTCATTACGTGGGAGGCTGTAGAATACAGGCTGTTTTCTCTTACAATTAAAAATGGTACCTAGAATCCAGACTCTTTTTTTTTTCCCCTGGTGCCTTTCCATGGCTTCACTGTTTGCTCTTGGAAAACCACCTCTTCCAGCCTTAGTTTCTACAATTTAAACGTGGATACTAGTGATGCTGACCTTACTTGGATGCATGAGGCCTAATGAATTGATGTCAGGAGAGTTAATTCTGAGATGAATGGGGATCTTAAAACCAGTGTTTACTCTGCAAGTGCAATTTCCAGTTGCTTCTGTGAAAATTAAATGTATTTACGCAAAACACAGACTTACAGCTGGAGAAAATACCTGTCTCCTTTCCATTTGCCATTTGAAGGTCTCTTATGTGGAATGGTTTGTTACTTCCGCCGTGCCTAAATGGAGAGTAACTGGGCTATTAGTGGTTTTTCACTTCCTCTGAATTCTGTTCCAGTTGTACAAGAAGGAGATTGAGGACATGCGAAGAAGTCAGTGTGAACACTGAGGTTACAGCTGAGAAGCTTGTATTGCCCTCTCTCCTCCGCACGTTTTAGATTAGAATATTGCAGAGAAAAAGGAAGGTTGAGTGTGGATTTTAGGCAGAGCTGTGACATTCTTCATAACATTGTAAAGTTGATGTGGTCAATCCAGAGCCTTTACTGTGTCCCTCACTCACTTTTCCTCTCCCCCCGCCCCTCGCTTTTTTTTTTTGCCACAAGACAGAATTATTTCACACATCTCTAAAATGAGTAAAATGGCATTTCAGCTTCTTGTCTTTATAGACTCGCTGAACTTTAGGAAAGATCATTCTGGTCCCTTTTCATTAATAATGAAAACCAGGGGGCAATAAAATGTTCTTAGCTCAAGCATTATAGGAATGGAGGGAGAGATGAGTGAGGTGAAAGGGCAAAGCAGACAGGGTCCTACAGGTGTGTCTGCCCTCTACTCAGAGGTCACTGCAGCAGGGAGGTCCTTAGGGACAGCCAGTCAAGGACTGCCATGGACAGGGCACCCCCAGACCCACATACCCTTTACAACAGGCGGTTCAGTCTGGAGTTGCATTGTCATAGAAGGGGATAACTTCAGTCACAAGTTCAGGGCAGAGAACTGGTCAACCAAGAGGCTTCAGATAACCAGAAATGACAGTGGGAGCAGAGTAAGGAGGGGAAAGTGGGATGGATGACTGGGGTGTGCAGCAAGATCAGCCTGAGATCATTTTAAATCCTGACATGTACACAGGCAGCTACTGCAGCTTAGCTGATGTGTGTTAACTCATTAAGTTAAAAAGTTATGATAATTTGATCATGTGCCTAAGCTCCAAAACTGCAACTGCAGCAACCCAAAATACTCCTGGTGACACTATAAACCTGTTCTCACAGAGCTGCTTTAATTTGTTCAGATTCTAACCAGTGGATGATTTGAGGAGCTGTTGCAAGATGCTATGAGTGCCAGTATTTGAGAGCCAATGCCTGTTTGTAGAGCCTCAAGGCTGGTATTAGGAGTAATTCTTGCAATGAAATGCCTGTAGAACATCTCAGGAACAGAAAGTCTGGCAATAGGTGAGAAAAGCAGAAAGGAGAGAAGCGTCCAGCCAGTTTAGCCTCCCTTTGAAAGCCTGAATTGAAACTTTGTAGAAGAGACTGCATTTCTGAGACATTACATACACATGTAGATTTGGATCTGTCTGTTTGGAGACTGTACATCGGCCTCCACCACATCAGTTCTGCCCACATCCTGCCACTGAACTTTAGGAAAGATCACTCTGCATCCTCTTTATTATTAAAGAAAACCGGGGGCAGTACAAGATTCGTTCAGGGAACTGCGAGGGAGGTGAAAGGATAAAGCTGGTGGAAAACTACAGGTATCTTCTGATTATGCTTGAAGGAGCAGAGCGCACTGGAGCTTTGCTTTGCTCTGTGGAGTCTCTCAGCTTCTGTGCAGAATTGTGTGTTAAATAGCTCAAGCCTTTATCTACTTCTTTACCTCTCTCTGTAGGTATTTAATTGCGTCTTTTCTTTCTGCTGTTTGTGTGTGTTTTGGTCTCTATTTGTAATTCAGGCTTGAAAGACATTGGCCCATAATTGCTAACACAGCATTCATAAACCCATCTACTGCCCTGATAGATTTCTCTCCTTTCTCAAAACCCTGCATTCCTTTTTTCTGCCTTCTTCTGGATCTCTGGCTCTGTCCCCATTTTCAAAGATTATGATAGTGGAGAGCAAGAGGTGCTCAAGTAATGAGTTAACCTTGTCTGGTACTAACACTGCAGACAGGTATCTGGGGGAAGTGCAGGCAAAACCAGCTTGATGGAGCTTCTTAAAGTGCTGCTGTGATTTGTCTCTCTTTGACACTTTGTGCAAGGCCAGTGTCAGTGCTAGAGGCCTGAACAGATGTTTCAGTGTCCTAGGCCTGCACACTGTACCTGAGGGACTACCAGCATCCTAGTGCCCCCTGCTCAGTAAATCTATGCCTGCTAAGAAGCAGCAGAACTGGCATTATTTATTGCACTCTTCTCTGATAAAACAGGAATGAAAATGTCACCTGCAGTTCTGACTGTGTTTATTTCTTCATTTTGGCCTTTAGGTCCACCTGGCTCCAGATGGCGAGATTATGGGGCTTTGGCTATCATAATGGCAGGAATTGCCTTTGGGTTCCACCAGCTCTACAAGGTAATATCTCCCTCACTACTTATACACTGCTCTGAGAGAAAAACGTTATGCTGCTTGTGTTGACAGGACCATGTTGGGTCCAAGTTGCTGAAGCATCTCTGTTCTTACTGGCAATGCCATTGGTGTATGTAAGAAATGTACACTTAACATGAAAATGCAGTCAAAAAGTAGCAAGCAAACAAAAGTAGATCTTAAAGTGGATCTCAAACTGCTAGAAACAAAGCTATTTTCATCATGTGTATATATTTTGGAGTTTTTTAAGTTGGGGAAACTGAGCACAATCCTTCAGTAAAAGGATTCTTCCAGCACTTGCCAGCAGGCATTACTATCATAGCCCCGATCTAATGAGTTGTCCACTGGTGATCCTGTACCGTGGATAGGAAAGAATCTTCTTTGACTGATGAGAACACTGGAAAGAAGGTGCTAATTTCCAGGTCTGCCATATATCCTGTAGTTCTATTCCACTGTGCTTAGAACAAGGTAGAACAAGCGTGTGTCTGCTTATGTGTTGTAGAGACAGCAGCTCCTTCTTATTTCTTGTGCAATGTTTCTCCAACTGAACATACTCTTTCACTCTGGATTGCTTTCCAGCAGTGTGGTAAGTGACATTAGATAATGTCTTTGGTAAACAATCATATTCTGTGGCTACATAGAAAGACATTAGTGGTTCAAGGCAACATAGCAGAGTGTGAAGAGCTTTGGTCCAGCAGAAGTTGTGTTTTGTTTTTGAAAAAGGGACAGAGATGAAGACTTAACAAGAGGTTGATGGTTTTTATGTTTGTTCTTTAGTTAACAATTACCACCTTGTTTTGTAAAATCTATTTTACAAATAAAAGTGTTGTCCTTCCAGTTAAAAACTACTCTTCTTAACCTGTCCTATCGTTGATTTTCTGGGTCTCAGTCTATGAGAGGCCAAATGGAACAGATGTTCCATCTTTGCAAGTAAAGTTACTTGACTTAAGAGAATGGCTTTTTATGGAGATCTGTTGTCCCTATGTTTTCATATTAGTGATGCCAGCCTTACTGATCTTTTCATTCTTGCAAAGAATGGTGGATCTGGTAAGTGTCCTGAGACATGTTAAGGCAACAGCTGCTGGGCCTTGCAGACCTGAACATAATGACACACAGCTAACACATTTTTGGCATAATGTCAGTGGTGTTGTTAATATATCCTACTGCTGTATTCTTTTTCACAGATCTTGCTCTGCTGTCTATCCAAACCTCTCTAACCTAGCAGAGACTCTTATTCTTTCACAGGAGTAAAACATCTTTGGAAAGAGTTGATAGATTCCCTCTGCCCTTCATGGGATTTTGAGGGAGTTTGAAAATAGTGATTTTTGTATGAAGGATAGGATGCTGGGATACAACATAGTTGTCTCTGTGTGTTCTATGGAGATTAAGAGAGAACTGTTTAGGAAAGTCATCAAAAGCTATTTGCTTTTCAGAATGTCAGACTGTAAACATGTACATGTGCTTTGTGAGGGTAAGAGCTGTGCACATCAATGCTGAAAGCTTACACCAGTGCTAGGAAGTATAAAAGAAGTGTAACACGTGCAGCAGTCTGGATGATCAGGTCTGCCTCAGAAACTATCCTGTATGTTTGCCTTGTGCAGTGAGTGTACATAGATCAAAAGTTGGGATGAAGCAGCATTGATAGGTGCTATCAGGGCTATTTCCACATCCTAGACCATCCTTCTCTGCCGTTTTTTTCACCTGCCGTATTGTGCTTGGATTCCTCTGGCCTTTCCTGGGTCTTTCTCCTCTTCTTCCCACTTTATATTTCTTGCCCTTTGGATGTAGCTCAGGTGTTGCGACGTATCAGTGTGATCACATTTGAGAGTATAGGATCTGAAGTTTTCCTCTATGTGTGATGGATGTTTCTGTGGGCTTAGAGCTGTCCCAGGAAGCCTTAAATGGTCTTAGGAACTGGGTTTTAGCACCCCAAAAATGTATCCACAGAACTCCTATCTTCTCTTCTACAACTTCTTTTAACAGCTACTGTAGAGGGAATTTCTTTGCTCAGCCAAGTGTGTGGATAAATGATCACTGGCTCTGTGATAAAGACTGAGGTTTGGGTGGTGGCCTTTGAGGACGTTTCAGGTACATTAGAAAAGACTGCTTGCATATCTCCATTTCCTAAAAAACTTTCTGTACTCCATACAGAAATACCTGCTTCCTCTCATCATGGGAGGCAAAGAAGACAGGAAGCAACTTCAGAGGATTGAGTCCAACATCGCTGAGATGAGTGGCAGCGTGACACAGACAGGTAAAGATTAATGACTCCATCAATTCACTCCTCAAAGCCTTCCTCCCTGGAGCCTCCATTCTGCCAAGCCCCCCACCCTTTTCTTTCCCTCCGTCTCCACTTTCTGTGGTGACTTCATTTATCTGCTCTGAGAATCTGTTCACATTTGCAAATGAAGGCGCCGTCATTTCGGTTTAATTTGAAATTGGTTGTTTACTGTCGGCGCGGCCTCAATTAATTATGTTTTTACGGAAAGGCTCCCAACCTCAGAATATTAATAAGGAGAATAAAATGACAGCCTTTCGCGGGGCTGCAAAGTTCAGGTTTAATTTCTGCTTCTCACATGTTTTCAGGGGCTTCTTTTTTTAAGTCTTTCCCCCCCCACCTTCCATCTAAACATCCGAGGAAGGGTCAGGAGAGTCTGTAATTACTGTGCCTTCCTGACCTAAGCCACCTTCTCTGTTACTGACTCTATAGGGTGTCTGTTCGTTACCCGATGCCCTAATGATGGTCTGGATTAGCTGTTGCCTGTCACACCAATAGAGGTTTTAATTTTATTTTACCAGCTTGTTTACTGCCTGGGAGCCTTGGATAAAGTAGCAAAATAGTAAAGTTGGAGTTGAGCAGAAGTCCTCCTGTGCTTGGTGGAGTGTAGGAGGGGAATACAGGGTGTTTGCTTGAAATAAAAGGGAGAAAGTGTAAAAGTATATTCAGTTGGAGGGATGAAAAAAGTATGATTTTCAGCAGTAGGTTTGTTAAAGATGTTGGGGTTGAAGGAGCTGGTGGGTTGAGAGTGGGAGGATGCTCATTACATCTCCGAGTGGAGGGTGTGAAGAAAAGCGTCCTTCATTTCTCATGATAGCCTGAGGTCAGTCCTGAGACCAGCCTCTTCCCAGACTGGAGGTATCCCCAGTGTTTGCCTGTGTGAGGCCCAAGATAGATAAATGATACAAACATTGTATAAGTTCACGGAGATGTACAAATCATAAACCAATATAATTAGAAGGGAGAGGTTTTGGACGGATATACTGTGGGATATAGACATCTATACAATGGAAAGATAAACTAGAAATACTGGAGGTTAGATGCAGTGCAGGTAGATTACCCGTAGTGCAGATAAATCATATGGATTAAAGTGAGCAGGCGGGTGTAGATAAATTAAATATAGTAGGAATAGAGGCATCTTTGTAGCTAGACAGCAGGAAGGGCGTGTGTGAGTGTGTGTATGTGCATGTATCTCAGTTTAACACTCTCCTGCTTTTTCCTTCACAGTGACTCAGTTACAGACAACTTTAGCAGCTGTCCAGGAGCTGCTAATTCAGCAACAACAGAAAATCCAGGAGCTCACTCAAGAACTGGCTGCTTCTAAGGTATCCACTCCCACCTCTTTACTTTTAGAACATCACCACCTATCTTCTTTGGAACATGCATGGCTTCTTTCGTGAGCACATGGAAAGCATCTTGTTAGGTTTACAATCCAGCCTTCAGCTCTGTCATATTTCCAGCCAGTTTCTCTGCACCTGACTTCTCCATAGGCAGTCTGTTTAAAGCACTGGATATTAACTGGGTACTCAATGAAATATATGTAACTCCTGAGAGGGCTTTTCTGTTTAGCTTTGGATGCAGCCTTTGCATGCAGTTTATTTAATCTCAAATGCACTGCATTTGAGATTAAATAATTCTGCTGTTAGTCCACTGACCAAAAGAGGTGAAGTCCAGTTGTGCAGAGGTTTTATTTGTGTGTAATATGTAATTTTATGTGTTCATATTTCTCCTGCACCTTTATACTTTGTCAAAACAATGACTTTATCCTATTCAGCCAAGCACACACTTGAAGTACTATATTTAAGTCACTTGTTCAGACCCAAGCCAATGGTTGAATAGTCTTACTGTTTGGTTTCTTGTTTCAATGATTTTGGTCATCTTAATGTAACAGGTAGCCCCATCACAACCACATTAGTGATGCACAGTTGCCCATTCCTCTTGACTCCCAACTTGACCTTGGCAGTAAAACCATCAGCTCTGACTAGTTTGTGTTGTTACATGTGTAACTACAAGTGACCACTTTTAACCAAAATTGATTTTCTTTCTGGTGATGAGAATTAGTGTTTTGCATCTCCAGAGTACTTTGCATCCATTGGTCTAAACATTCCATCAGCCAGTAAGTGTTGGTTCCATGTGAGCTGGGGTGGATTTGAACCAGTCACATAGAGATGGTCACAGACTTGTGATTATTTATCTTGCACTATTCTCTGTGCAGGGAGAGAGTTTTCTTTTTAATGTAAAACCCCTTAGACAATGCTTACAGTCTTTTACCTATTGCATGAACTGTTGTTTTCTCCCCTTACCTATACTTTAATCTCATATAAACCCTTTGATGGTATGTAACTGGTGGGCCACAGCTGACTGTGTGGTGTGCACACTGTACAGTAGGAATCCCTCAGTGGCACAGCTGTAAACCCAACCATGAAAGCCAGTTTATGGTCCCAACACTCCGCTTCAATTTTCCTTGGGAACTGTGGCCTGTCAATGGCCTGGAGCCAGTCCGGAAATTGGAAAACTGTTTTCAGGTCTTAAGTGTTAAGATTAAGACCACATGTTGAGCTTTAAGAAGGGAAAAGGGCATAAGAGTCTTGGTGGTTTAGAGAGTCTTGAAGAAGTTCTTCCTCCCCCCTCTCTACCCCCTGCACTGAAATGGTAGCACACATTGTTATGATATCTAAACCTCATGCGTACAAAGAAAAACTTGGGCAACCCCACAAACCAAAGAATAAGAGCTGTGTTTTCTCAGCTGTAATGTAAGTTTTTATATCTGCTTTTCAAACTCCTACTGGCATGCTGTAAAAAATTAAAAAGAGGGACTTTAAGTAATTAAAAAACATACATAAAAATTCAAGGCTTGACTTTTCTACAACTGTTTTTTAAAGAGACTGGCTAAAAAGCCCCAGATGTCAGATTTTATTTCTAAATCCTAGGCATCTGGCACCATATGTGTTTTGGAAATTTGAGTCCTTTGCAGGCCAGTGAGTGGAAATCACTCCCTTGTTAATGTGCTGCTGCTGTAGCTTTCAAGGTCTTGGAAAGCCAGAACAGTGGCTCCTGGATTCTTGCTGTCTGAGGGCTGGGAGTGTGAATCCCAAGGGAACGCATCTGTGTATATCACAGCTACTACAGACTGAGCCTCTCCCAGCTCACAGGGTTCACAGCCCAGAAGTCAGTGCGAGGAGTGCTGGCTGTGAAGGTGTTCAGGGTTACTCAGCACTAGCTGAAGTCTGTTTAAAGAATAAGTAGGAACAATCAGTTCTGGCTACATATAGTAGGAATTGCTGAGGAGGTTTTTTGTGTTATTCCAGTTCCAGCTTCCTTAGTCAGGGGATTTATTAAGAGCATGTCTGGAGTGATGCTCACAAATGGCTTCATTCTGAATTGCTTTTAGCAAAAATCAGTATGGGAAGTGCTAGACATGAGTATTCTTTGGTAGAAAAAGTGACATTTAGGTACTATCTTCCAGTTCATACTTTGATCTTCGTGTCTTCTTTTTCATGTTCTAGGCCACAACTTCCACCAACTGGATCCTGGAGTCACAGAATATTAATGAATTGAAATCTGAGATCTACTCATTAAAAGGCCTTCTCCTGAACCGGTACGGATCAAATGTGTGAGCAGATTATTGTGTGGGAAAGGGTTGCTTTCTGCGATCCTCTCAGTCATGGAGAGGAAAAGCATTTCCAGCAGGAACTAGCTCTATATCCTGTTATTGCTATTTTAATTTGTACTCCACTATCACTTTCTGTTTGTGGGTCTCAAAATGCTTTTCAAACTTGCCTTAAATCACAGAGCGCTTTGGGCAATTAATAAGGTCTTTCCTTTTGTTTATGATAAAGGAATTCTCTGCCATTCCCCACAGTCAGGATGCCTCTCACCTGAGGAGCTCACTGCATTTGCACCGGCATTCTCTTACAAAGAGAGTCACATCTGGATACAGCTCAGCTGACCTGTTCATGGTTAGGGCAGAACCAGGATGAAAAGAATCACACTTCAGGAAAAGCCTGGTTCTCTCTAATAGACAGGTATAGACATCTTATAATGTAGATGTCTGAAATGAGGTGATATAAATCCCAGCCTGTGGGACGGTCGTAAGAACAGGGATCGGATCTCAGTTCTTGAGGAAATTCTTTTTTGCCAAGTACATAACTTAAGGGTTTATCTAGCTTCCCAGCTACTGAACCATTTACTCTGATATGATTCTCTTGCCTCCTTCTACATGTAACTATGTCTGCTCAAGTCATCTGTTTACTAAGAGGTGGACTTCAAAGATCAACCTAAGACTCGACTAACCATGTTCTGCATCTCAGCAGCGGGGCTTTTCAGAAGTCTGAAAAGTGTATTGTCTTTAATATCCTTTCAAATTCTCACTACACCTCCCATTCCTCCCAAGAGTCACTGGAGAGAGCTGTGGAGGACTGAGGACACATACTAAGTTACTGTCTGTTAATTAGTAACAGTTACTGCCTGTTGATTTGGGTCGTACTAGCATCACTGCTGGGGAGCAAGCGTTACTTAATGACACCTCCTCAGCAATGGGAAAGTTGCAGCTGGGGAATAAATGCTTTTTGGAAAAAAAGAAAACTTCTGGGAGAAGTTGTATTATAACAAAAGAGCAAATGTCTCTGCAGTGACAAGGCAGCAGCAACACCAGAGCCAAGAAAGTCTCCCGATTGAAATTGCTGTTTGCAGTTATGATGCTGGTTGAATAATGCAGGCATTAGCTTATTGCACTCACAGGAGATGGAGGTTAGATCAGCAGAGTTCTTTGATGGCTGCTGGTGGGAGGAGGAAGAGGGAGGTGAGAGCAGCTACTGTTCCTAGTTCAGTCTAAGGATATGTAATCTGCTGTGTTTGAATGCTCGCTGTAGGAGAGCAGCCAGCTTTCATCTGCTCTGTCCATGGCATGAGCCAGCTCACCTGAGGGACACGAGGACCCCTGCCCCACAGCATTCTTTTCAGACCTTGATCTGATCTCTCATACTCCCACTTTTCACATACACAAGCAAGGATGCATGGGGAGTACTGGATCAGACATGCTTTTTTTGCTTTGCTTTTCATGGTGGATGACTTTCTGAGGACACCAGTGCTTCCCACTGCCTTTCCATTTGTCCTGTCTGGTACTTGGGTTCTCTAGGGTTGGGCTTTAGCCTGCCACTGTCAAATCCTTAAAGTCCACTTGGAAATGACTCAAGGACAAAGCAGCCAGCTTTCTCAGCTGGTACGAGCTAATATGACTCCATTCAAGTCAGAGAAGCTGAACCAGTTTGTGGCACCCAGGACCTGGCCCAAACATGTGAAGTGCATGCTAGGACTAGAAGATAGGCTCTGGAATGCACTGAGCCACAGTGCAATAGCTGAGTATCACAGTGGAGGTGAGAGCCAGATGGTGAAATTCCTTGGCTTGGGCACAAGGACCTGGTGTGTCTGACTTCTTGCTCCAGTGGGAATTTTCTTTACCAATTAGTGATTGTTTTATAAAGGGACACCCATGTCTTCCCACAGGCAGCATTCCTGAGTGCCAGCTTACTGTGTGCCACTGGCCAAACCGGATCATTTTGATACTTCAGATTGCCCAGCTGTGATATTTTCTGTGGGTGCAGGCTCGATTACTGGGTGCTTGTAAAGCACTTTGAGATTCTGGCTGAAGAAGTGAAGTGGCCTTGGGTTTGGTCATTTATGTCAATGGAGACTTGCAGTCTCAGCCCTGCTTTACATGGTTTCTGCAGCGCAAATACCGTTCTCTTGAATGATAACCCCTCAGTGTTTGTAATAAAAACCCCTTTCTCTCCTTTTCTTCCCCTCTTCCCTCCCCCAAGGAGGCAGTTCCCTCCCTCCCCTTCGGCTCCTAAGATCCCGTCATGGCAGATCCCAGTGAAGCCAAGCTCACCCTCCAACCCTGTTGTTGCCAACCATAACAGCAGCAGTGACATCTCCCCTGTCAGCAACGAGTCTACCACCTCATCACCAGTCAAGGAGAACCACAGCCCTGAGGGCTCAAAGGTCAGCTGCCATCTCCTGAGCACGGAGGAGGGCAACAAGGCAGTGATTGACGTCAAGAGCCAAGTGCGGATGGAGGTGCAGGGGGAGGAGGAGAAAAGGGAAACCAAAAGGAATGAAGAGGAGGAAGAGGACGATGAGGATGATGATGTTAGCCATGTGGATGAGGAGGAATGTCTGGGTGTCCAGACGGAGGACCGGCGAGGAGGGGATGGTCAGATTAATGAGCAAGTAGAAAAGCTACGAAGACCTGAGGGGGCCAGCAATGAGAATGAGATTGACTAAGACACCCTGGCTTCTGCTGCTGCTGCTGCTGTACATCTTCCCTAGGCTCCTGCACTGTCCCCGGTGCCTCTCCCATTTTGAGGAGAGAAGTGCCACCATCCTCTCCCATGATCCTTCCATGACTGACCTTGAGCAGGGTCATGATTGCCCAGTGAACAAGGTGGGCCCTGTTTCACCACAGGGCTTTGCAGCGTTGCAGTGGCTTCTTCTCCCCTCCCAGACCTTCTGCCCATGAGCTGGGGGCATTGCCTAGGCTGGAAGACCAATCGCCTTACCATGCACCACAGCTAGAGAGTCAATTCTCTACATAAACACCATCTCTCCCAAAGCAGCCAGCCTCTTCGCTGCCTCCTAGTCCTCTCCAATTTCAGAAACCAGTCTGTCCTGAGCTTTTTGATTTCACCAGCCTTTAATCCCCACAAAAGGCCCAAACCAGTTCTCTGTTTCCCAAAATAACCCTCTGGTTTATTTCTCAAACTACTTGATATTCTGTTGCCAAAAAAAGAACGTTTTAACCCTGAATTCCTCACCAGATCTCAGTCTTGGCTCTCCCAAGCCTTATGTCAAGCCTCAAATTCCTGAAACTACCTAGTATCTAAAAACACTAAATTTCTGTGGGGTCCAAAGAACACTGTTTCCACCCCACATACTTCCACTCATCAAAGTGGCCTCTTGCTAGAGACCAAGCCCAGGTTTCATGGCCACAGTAAAATCCACGAGAACAAGTGGCTTTGTTACTGATTGCTCGCCGGTAAAAGAAGGTTTAAAAGAAGCTGACTCCACTCGTCCCAGTTATTACCCTTCCTCCTCCAAAGGCAAGACGCTCACATCAACTTTTGACTAGTAGCCCTGAATTAATACAAGGTGATATCAGATGCTGAAACAGTTGATTCATTCTGAATCTTTGCAATGGTTTTTAGCTCCCTGGATGAGGAGAAAATCCATCTTAAATGACCAGTGACTCCTTCAGCAAAGCAGTCTCTACAGAAGACAGTTCCAGCTCTGAGGTGTTAAGCACTGGCCCTTCTTGCCCAGTCCAGCCTTTTCTTGCCCCACTGGGGCTTTACACAAATGAAACCAGTGAATTTTGAAACCTCTCATTTGCAGCATTGTGTTCTCAGGTGGTAAAATGGTGGTGTCCAATTATATTATTCACTGCATCAGAGCCTCTTAGCAGAGCAATTCTTGTAACAACTGAGTCTCACTGTCCTCACCAAGCAAGTGTGCTCGTCTGTGTGATCATGTATAGATTTCAAATATAAAATATGATTGTATATAATTGTAATAAATATGAGTTACCACTATTTAACACCAGGCTATTACTGGATTGCTGTGGCTCTTATTTTTGGGTGGGAAAGGGAGCGGAAAGGGACTGTCACAGAAATTCAGGCCTTATAAAATGTTTTCTGAAGGATGTTTATGGTTGATTTTCTGACTGTTCTAATACTAGGTTATATCAGCAGGAGGCAGCGTGGAGAACAGTGTAAGTAAGTGGAATATAAGGTACAATATAAAGAGCACCAACGCTGTAATGGTGGGTTGCCTCTGGTGTTCCAGAGGACAAGGTGGATGTATCATCTGGTGAGTAACATGCAGCTGTTCCAGTGTCTATCCTCCCAGCAGGAGGCTCTGGAGGGTGCAGAATGCAGCATCCCTCTCCTTCCACCCCCAGCAGCAGGAGGTGCTGAAGGGAGTGTGAGATATCCCACAGCCCCTTGGTCTTATCTACCAGCAGGGAATGCTGCGCCGTATCCCATGACTGCTCTAACCCTGCCATGTCAGTGCAGAAGCCATTGAAAGAAATGGCATGCAGCAAGTAACTCATAGCTACTGCAGTCCCATCTTTGTACAGCATAAGTATTTGGCTCCCTTCTTAAAAATGAGGGATTTACTTGATTCCTGAGTATTTGGGTGTCTGGTACACAGTGACATTTTCCTGCTCAGGGGGAGCGAAAGGGACCTTCATATTACTGTATTTAGACCTGCTGCTGAATGTGATGATTTCTCATGCCTTAAATGGACGAATATCTTCCCCAGGAGTGAGTGAGTGAGTGTGTGTGTGTGTGTCCCTCTCCCTCTCAGCCTCCCTCTCCACTGTTTAACGTTCACAAAGAACGTCACGTTTAGCTAAAACAGGGCAAATTTGAAAGTGTTTAAAAGGAAAGGCTTTCCTTAAGAGATGGCACTTTTCATTTCTCCAAGCCAAGAATCCTTGTGAAAAGAAAACATGACTGAACGCAGGGATGTGATGAAAAAGTATTGTCCTGCCTGTGTACATTTCATATACATAGAAGGTTTTGAAAATAGAAAGTGCCTGGACAACAGCAGTTGGTGAAATGTGGAAAATATTTTGCTGAGGTATGTGCCTTGCAGAGTGACTTACGAGGTTTACAGTACAAGCATCCCTGCGGGTTCCCTTTTCCCCCCTTTTCCTCCATGTTGCCAGTGTTCAATGCATTTACCTCCACATTTCTGGTGCAGGGTAAAAAGCAGTTTTCTTCAGCTGCTCTCTTCCCTCCCTTAGTTGTGCTTCTTACAACCCTTACCAATTCAATAGGTCGTTGTTTTTCCTTTCCCCAACCTGATGAATCCCAGAAAACTCCATCAGAGCCATTGTTGCTCAAAAACTCCAACTCCGGGCCTCTGGCTGCTGATGGGATGTTTGTGTACTTTGTTGAAGAGATCCAACCCACCAGCAGAGAATTTGGAACAAGCCAAGGCCTTCTTAGCAGCAGGTATTGTTGTGCATCACAAGTTTTGTTCCTCTGTCTCGTGTTCCTTGTCTCTCCAGCATAGCAACAGTTGTGGGGTGTTTTGGTCCTTATGAACCATGTAGCCTCACTGCTAACTTGTAACTAACTTCTCCTTTTTGTTTTTTACTAGAAAAAAGCCCACTTAGATCAGCTGCCCTGTGAAATGTTTAGCCCATTGGCCAGTAGGCACTGGGAATGGCATCATATTAGCTGAAAGATGACCAGATAGCAAACCTTTTATCTGCAGAACAAGAGAGACAGCAGCAGCAGCAGCAGTCACCCACCATCTGGCTGTATTCAAATACTCTGTTTTACTGTGTAATCAGCCTTTGTTTTGACACAGGAAGAAGAATAACAACACCCTGGTTGGTGAGTTCAGTGGGTTCATAACATGGTTCCTATAGGTCCTTGGTACGGTATAAAAAGCAGGTGAAGGGAGCTTCCTCTGAACACTGTTATTTGAGCACATTTCAGTGAAACCCTGTGAGCCTGTGCTCTCCCTCCTAGAGGAAACAATAACAGGCTGGTGCTTTCCAGTAATTTGAGGCTATAAAAGCTCCCTTTTCAATAACTGCAAGAGGAATGTGGGGAACTCAGAAAATGTGACAAAGTGGGAACGGGTTAAGAGATGTATCTGCTGATCATCTTTGTCCAACCTTCCTCACCCCCAGATGTGGCAAATAAGTCCTATGTGCATCTTCACCATCAGACGCAGGAAGGGTTTTTTCATTGCCATTTGGGTGTTGAGGGTGTAACCTAACAGTGTTGGGGACCAGGAGGAGGAGGACGGACTGTAGGATCCCATGTGAACTTGCTGCTTTGCTGCAAAGTATTTTCCTTATAAGAGTGCCTCAGTTTCCACATGTGATAGTAAAAAATGCTGGCTGGTAAATGTAAAGATGTGACAAAAGCTGCAGGCAAAGCCAACTTTGGGAACCAGGTTTCATGCTCACACAAAAAACCCAACCCCCATTAACTGCTGTGCCCTGGAGCAGGACCCCAGCCCTCTTGCAGCAGCCTGCACTGGTCACTTGGCCATCTTGGCCTGGCCTGGCGACAGGCATTTTAGATCTGGCCTTTTCTTCTTGCAGCTCGGATGCTTCTGCCAAGTAAGTGCTTTTTAATAACCATGCTTTCTCTTGACTTTGTCTTCAATAAAGTGGGGGGAGCTGGCTGCATTGCCAGTGGCTGCCTCACCCTCGTCGGGGTTTGTTAGGTCTGTCCTGATGTGTACTGCTGTATATACATGGTATATGCTGGGATGCTGCCTGGGGCAGGGAGGAAGCTGTGAAGAAAGTCTCTGCTCCGTGGCTTTCATTTGCAGTGCCTACTGCAGAAATGGAGGCTGCCTTTGCTGTTCCTTTGATGGGGCAGTGTGATGCTTGAGCAAAACAAAGGCTAGGCAGGAGGTCCAGAGTAGCTTTTTGTTGTAAACCTGTGGTGTTGAAGCCAAGGTCTCCATGCTTACTTAGACCTTCCACACTCAGCAGGTTGTGGAGTACATGTTTTTCCCAAGGGCTTTGACATCAGGAAGCTTTGGGAGGTCCCTTCTTTGTGGTGATGGTTTATGTTAAGCACAAACTGTATGTGGTGGTGACCCTGTGCACCAAAAACTGACATTAAGCTTGAGCTGAGAGTCTTCCTGCATGGACTTGAGCTCTCATACCAATGGGTGGTATGCAAGTGCAGAGTAAGAGAGGGACTTGGCCTTCAGGGATTGAAAACGTAAATAGAGGGATGCTGGGAGGTGAAACACAAGAAACCATTTACCTGAGGGCACAAGAGAGAACTTCCCCCTTTCCTCATTTTCCCTTGTATCATCCTATCCCAGCCTGCTGCTTCCCTCAGGAGTCAGTCTCTGTAGGCACCTTTAGAGCTGCCTTCACCTATTATGCTGATGGAAGGCTGTGTCTTACCACTGTGTGTCCTCTCAAAAAGTGAAAGTAAGTAATGGAAATGTACCTAAGGTGAATTTTGGGGTACGAAGGAAGAGGGATGACGCAGCTCTTCCACTTGCTGTGTAGTAGGAGCTCTGAACTGCGCACTTGTAGATGGAGGGGCTGGCATGGGCTCTCCCAGCTGAGGGAAAACAACAATCCCATCCACGAAAGGGAGCAAGCACTAACCTAATAAAGGCACCAGCTGGACGGAGGGAAAACCAGCTCTTTGGGAAAAAAAAACCAGCCCACAACCTCCTTTCATTAGAAAAATAATATATTTCATCCAAATAAGGTAAAAATATTTGAAATGGGGCAGAAGTGAGCACTAGGCAGCATCTGTCAGGCCCTTTCTGAAAAGGGGAAGATTATTAAACTCAATTACAATTTATTTTTGTAAAGTGTCTTTCAGACTGAAAACCTCCCCAAATGCTTTGCAAGGACTGCTCAGGGGCTCCTTCCAACATGGAGCATCTTGGAGGAACGCTCCTGTTCCCACCAAGCCCTTCTTTTCTGCATCTGCTGCAGGATTTAACCCTTCAGGATTTTGCTTTTTTAATTCTCTATTTGCACAAACGATGAGAGATGGTTTGTGGTGCTGGCTCCAAGTACATACCTGGGGGGGGGGGGGGGGGGTGGATTTGACGTTGTATTTTCTCCTGGTTTAGGTAAAATACTTGCTTTTCTTTAGGACTGTGGCTCCCGAGGGAGGTGATTGATTGGATAGGGCTGATTGAGAGGACCTAGAAGTACAACTGGCTTATTTGTTGCCTGTTTTTCCTTCTGTGCCTGTCCCATTGCCAGCCTGTTTGTCTGCCTCTTGGGCACTTTGCCTGGCATGTCTGTTCTGTACAGCATCCCAGTTGTTGGGTTTTCAGTGTTTCATCATGCCTGTCTCCTGATGCCCAATGCTCTCCTCTTGCTAACACTTTAGAAGCAGACTGCTTCCAACTTTATCCTTGTTTCTGTAAGTTAGTACTGGTGTTTTATCTGTGTGGAGCTAGGGTAACATCTCCTTAAGATGAATATCTTTAAGTGATTTTTAATTCAACCTGAGCAAATTCTTGGGTGGACGTTTTTCCATCTCTTTGAACAGATGGGCTTTACTTAAGCAGCTTCGACTGATACATGCATTCACAAAAGACTGTGTGTGAAATTGCTGCAGCTTTCCTATGTAGATGACTGACTTACTCTTTACTTCCTGTCCTCCTACAGTATCAACAGTAGATTTCATCTCTGCATGTCTGTTGCCTGCTTGCTTCATATGTTTTGTGTCTGTGCATTGCTGTGCAGTAATATCAATGCTTCCACTGCAGCAGCCAGCAAGTTTTGGGTGTGAGATTTGGGTTCCTTCTTGCTTCACAGTCTCTTCTGTTCCCCAGAAGGAGCTGAGTGCAGCCTGATATTTCAACTGAAACTGGAACATCCCACTATTGCATCTATTTCTTACCTCCTTTATAACCCAACTCAAACCCACAGGCAAAGTTTACTAATCTGTAAAATAGAGATGTAGTGGGTGCCCTGGCAGTGGGTGTCCTGTCTAGCTCTGCAGAGGGGGTGATGTGTTAGCTGTGGGGAACCATCTCTGTGTGGTGGCTGTTACAGCCTTGGGAGGTGCTGCCTCTGGTTCCCATCCATCTCATGGGTGCAACAAGCTCCAGCTGAGACGTGACTTGTAGGATTGGTGCCTGGTAGCCCAATGAGCAAGCGTGGTTCCCTGCGAGGGGCTTTGCCTTGCTGTGGTTACAGCCCAAATGGCTATTTTTTATCCTCTTTAACGTGTTGGGCTGTAGAGCTCTGATGTTTAGGCAGAGCTTGGCTGTGGCCTGGGATCACAGGAGGGTCCTAGGGGCTGCTGGTGACAGCAAGGGCTCGGGGCAGATGTTGGTAGCTGGCTTCCCAGCGAGAGCACAAGGCAGCACCGTGCCCTGTGGGAAGGGGGCAGGGAAAGGCTCAGCAGCCTGTCAGATAAATCTTGGTCTGTTTACTTAAATCCTCAGTGTTTCTTCATTTGTTTGTTTAAGAGTTTCCCTGCCAAAAAAGAGCAGAAGGAAGGAGGGAAGCTGCCTCTGTTGGCCACCCCCCCTCAGCCACCATGGGCCTGGGGCACTTCAAGGGCCAGAGCACCCTGCCTGCCCCAGGCAAGGTGAAGGGATCTGCTTCTGGAGGGGCCATGTTCCTGTCATTGGAGCAAACACTTGTCCCTTGGAAGGGAAGATGCATGTTAGGGACTCCAGTGAGCCCACTTCTTGCCCCAGAGCTGGCATGAAGAACCTGTCATCCCTTCTAACACTGCTGTGCCTACAGATGCTGTTTAGTGCCTTTCTCTCCTCTTTGCCCTCACCCCTTTGGTAGAGACTGTTGCCTCCAGACTTAGCTGTTGTCAGCTTTCAGTTATTGGTGAAGTTTGTTCAAGACAGCAGACAGAGACCCAAAAAGCAGGGGCTTCCTGCCAGGATGTGGATTTCCACTTAACACTGGAACAGAGGGACTCAAAAGCATCTTACCTATCCTTACCTTTTTATAGATACTCATAAAAAATACCGGGTATAGTGCACATCACACGTGCAGTTCCTTCCCATGCTCGTGTGTGCTTTCACCTAAACTGGCGTACTTTCCTCGTCCCCGCACAGGTATTGGGCAAACCTGTGTGTTTTGCTGTAGGCATGCATGTGCAAGTCTCGTGCACAGGTATATTTATGCATGCTCTCATCTTCCCAAGTTTGGTTGCATTAAACTAAGTTCTGCCTTGGTTTGCAGAGAAAGGCAGAAATTACTTATTTATTCATGTGTGTGTGCACGTGCGTACGTGAAACTCCTGAAGCATTCCCAGCAATCTACATGCCTTTTTTTGCTTGGAAGAGGTACAAGCTGCTCGCTGACTTTCTGAGAAGTCTTTAAAGTTCATGTTCTCCTTGAAGACGATGTGAGATTTTATTGTCATGTTTGAAAGCTTCAGTCTTCCATGCAGATTGCATGCAGATTGGCGGGGGGGATATTTGGCTATAGCTCCTCTCCTTCCCTTTCCCCAAGAGCTGCTGCTTTAAAAGTTCTCCAAAAGGGCACTGCAGGTTTGTGAATGCAGTTTCGTGCCTGTGTGCGACAGCCCAGAGGTGCCAATGCAGGACGTGGCTGTGACGGCAGGGGTTGATGCAGCCTGTATGTACCTTATTGTAGGTTCAGAGCCTTCCTTCTTGGGATGGGCTCGTGCAGAACTGGGAAGGAAATTTTAGAGCTCAGGTGAAGGTCTCGGGTTTGAACGTTTGGTGCACACTTCTCTGTCGTAATACTTGTCCCTGGCTTTGTGGTGGTGTACTGGCTGTTAGTACACTGCATGATAATGCCCCATGCAAAGGTTTCTCCAGGAAGTGTCAAGGCATTTATTAGCTGTTGGCTGGCTGTTACCTGGTAATGGCCAGTGCCCGTCTTGGCTCCCGTAACCCGGGCAGCATGGGTAGTACCAGAAGCTGGCTCAGTTCATTTTTCCTACATTGTGTGAATGCTTTTTCCCCTTTTGCGTCTGTGTTGTCAGGATTTCTACTTCTGGCCTCTGGTCCTGTGACAGGGAGGGGGAATAACTCTTGCTAGTCTGCTGAGAGATCTAGGAGTCCCCAGTGCTGCCACCCCATCAGACATGCCCTGTTTTCTCAGTAGTAGGTATTTCTAAAGCTGCAGCAACACATGTGTAGCTCCCCTTTCCTGCCCTACAGAATCCCCTGAAACTGGGCTCCTTTGGACATCTCAGCCACACTCATACCCAGGGACTTGACCACTGCTCTTCTGTTCTAAAATCCTGCTCAGCTCCAGATTTGATCTAATTTTCTCTAATCTAGAGGTATAAAGATGGGCTTATTTAACAGAGCCATTTCCTTAGCAAGGATAGGACAAGAGGGAACGGGTTAAAACTTAAACAGGGGAAGTTTAGATTGGATATAAGGAGGAAATTCTTTCCTGTTAGGGTGGTGAGGCACTGGAATGGGTTGCCCAGGAAGGTTGTGAATGCTCCATCCCTGGCAGTGTTCAAGACCAGGTTGGACGAGGCCTTGGGTGCCATGGTTTAGTGTGAGGTGTCCCTGCCCATGGCAGGGGGTTGGAACTGGATGATCTTAAGGTCCTTTCCAACCCTAACTATTCTATGATTCTAAGTCTAGGCCTCAATGTTATTTAGCCTTAGAAAGCCAGTGTTGAGCACTGGTCCTTGCGAGCTGCAAGTTATGCCCAGTACGTGTTGTGTGTCACAAGAGCTGCTTTTCCTCTGTACCAGTAAGCATCAGAACTCTGAATTTCCTTCTGCTTTGGTGTAGGAGGCGTTGTGCTGCCGGAGTAAATATCCTCCAGAGTCAGACATGCTTTACTGCACTCTGTACTCAGCTGAGCAAGCTGCGAGGAGGATTTGGCTGGGCATGGGCTCCAGCTCTGCACACCTGAGGGGGTGGCTCAGTGTGACCGCTGGCTGCCCTAGACCAACTGCTCTGCATGCAGCTCCCTGGGAGATGGGCTTCACTAAAGGGGAATGAAGGTTGGAGCTGGTAAGAAAGATTCCTGCAAATTAAATGAATGCCTTCCACAGTATAAAAACTGTTCCTTGCAGGTCTAGGACATAAGGAGAGGTGTAACTCAAAGTATCATTTTCCTAGTTATTGCTAAAAATACCCTTGCTAGGCTGTCTGTGAGACGCACTGGGATGAATAGCCATGATCGTCTTTCCGAGCCACCGTGATGGCTATTACCTTCATTCTCAGCCAACACTGATAATCTGCCGTCTTCATTTCTGTCCTCATTGGCTGTTACAGCCCCGGCAAGGACAGGTCTCCATGTGCTAAGGCTGCCCTAAAGCATGTTGGTTAATGCCATCTAAAAACCAGGCTGACTGGAAGCAGCAGCAGAACCATCTGGTCTCCCATTCTGTGTCCTGGAACACCTTGAGCGCTGCATGTTTATGTTTGAGGCGGTTGAACTTTTGCTGCCTCTCTTGGTTTAAAGTCTGGAATTGCTTGGAGAGGGGAAAGCAGTGCTCTTTGTTTGAGGTGGTGCCAAGGGGTAGTTCTGCTGTGGTGGTGGGTGCTGCAGACAACTGGGTAGAGTGCTGAAAAGTGGCTATCATCATCTGCTCTTATGTACAAGGGGCAGTGTACTTTTGTGGCTGTGTGTAACTGTAGGGTTCTGCACTCACAAAAGATGCTGTTCCAGGGGTACATTTGGTGTAATCAAAGAATATTACCAGCAGCAATGCCCAGTTTTTGTCCTGACGTTACAAGCAGCAGCTTCGCTGTGTGTCTGCTGCCTTCCATGGCTCACCAGCTGCAGCAGCTGGATGCAGAGCTGCAGATGCAGTGGTGAGCCTTCGATTTGTTCAGCTTGCAGCTTCTCCCATGACTTAGTCATTCTTTTATGAGGTGCAGCCAGAGTTCTGCACAGAGAAGGCAGGTTCCTGCAAGAGCTTTCCAGCAGCGAGTTGTGTTGTTTGGGTCCCCTGTTGTCCCCCCCCCCGGAAACACAGTCATGTAAATACCCCACATGCTGCGGGCAGAGCTCCAGTGAGGACAAACCTCTGTGCTCCAAGGTTGGATTAGGAGCATGTTCGGATAATGGCATCTGAAAACAGGATGGCTGGGAGCTGCAGCGGAGCAACGAGGGGGCTTTGAAAGAGAGGAGTCTAATCCTCTCTGCTAATAAGGAGGCAGCTGCTGCCAATGCATCAGGCTTGGCAAACGCTGCTCTGCTGCTCCTGGGTGCTCTGACGGGTGGCAGGTGCAAAGACGCAGCTGCTTTGAGCTAGGAGGGGAAGAGCCACACGGGAGGGGTTGTCCTTGCTTTCTTTGGGTAACACAGGACCTTTGACATTGCTCTTTCCCCATCCCCAACAGCACTTTGGCAGGACAGGCAGCAGAGCTGTGTTTCATGCCAGGAGCTGTTCACTTGGCACCGCAGAGGCCGTGAGAGGGGTTGGATGCAGCCACCAGACACCTGCTGCTGGTGCAGCACCAGTTGCATTTCCATGGCACTCAAGCCCGGCCTTATTGGGAAGGCAGCTGGATGCGTGCGGTTCTGCGGCGGCACATGGGTGTTGTTCGCAGTGTTTGTGCCTCACCAGTGGAAGGCCAACTTTGGGCAGGGTGGAGGGCATGGGGAAAACACAGGGCAGCTCTTGTGCGGGTATGTCTTGGTAAGGGGACAGGTTCCCACAGAGACCACTGGGATATGTGCTGGCAACGTCTTCCTCCGAGGGGTGAGTACCTGGGGACGTGTTGGTACCTGGCAGGTACTGTGAGGGCAATTGCTTTAGAGCACACAAAGTGTTCTTCCCAACAGCCCCAAGTCCTGAGGCTAAGGTGGATCTACTGCCTCGTTCAGAGCAGGGATCTGGTGATAAAAGCCTGTTCTAATCCACCTCCAGTGTGGAAGTGCCCAGGTCTGGGAAGAGTCTTGGCTGGGATGTTGGGGACAAGCTGCATCTAGCGTGCAGCGGTTTTATCTAATCTGTTGTTCCTTTACAGTCAGTGGTACCAAGCAGTATTGTCCCACTGTGGCTGTCAGGACACCCTCTTGCTGAACAACAGTCATCCCAGATGGCAGTCACTGTACTTCGCACGTGCACAGTGTATGCAAGTTTCTGCAGCAGGAAAAAGGAATGGAGTGGCCAGGTAAGGAATGCTTTCCTTCAGCTCGTTGATGCGTGGCATGCAGCTTAACATGTCCTTGCTAAGTTCTGTCAAAGCACAGAGCTTCACGTTGCATTTTAGTGGAGATTAGTAGATTTATTAGCCCCACCCCTTCTATGCAGACAGGCTGTTTCATTCATGCTCCTCATCTCTCTTTTGTTAGGGTGATACTGAAAGTGATTTAGTGGGCTTTGAATGTCACTGTAAGGTTTCAAGCGGGCAGGAACAGCAAGCACAGTTCCACCACGGATCCCCATCACCACCCGGAGCTTGCAGGCCAAGGTAGGAAGGGAAAAGTCAATCTCTGATTCTAGGTCCCAGTTTAGCACATCGTGGAGAAGCATCAGCTTTACCAGGGGCCCCGGTGAGCACTTCAAGTAAAACTATAGGGCTGCTTAGAAAGCTTGAGGCCAGAGTCTGTATGGAGAGCACTTGGTTCCCATTGCACCTAGCACTAGTGCTGAACCAGGGGCTGTTCTGATGGGTGCAGGGCCCTGAGTAGCCTTTAAAAGACCCAAACTGCTCCAAGACTTGTTAGCCCTTAGACAAATACACCCCCTCCTCAATGAAGAAGACAACTTGATCGCTTAAAACGTTGGGGTTTTTTTTCCAGTTTTTATTGAGTGAAAATGTCAAACCTTGCATCAGTCATGCAAAAAAAAAAAAATCAAATAAATAAAACACATATATTAAATTTCTAATAGCACTAAATTCAAGTGGAAAAATATTCAGTTCTTAATAACGCAGGTGCTGAAGAGACCAGATTCAAGTAAATCAGAGCACACCATCCTGGTTAGGGTGTTGTTTTTTTTTTTCACTTTCTGCATTTTTTTGTCTCAAAACCTATATATATATCTATATATCTATATATATGTATATACATATAGATATATACACACACACATATATATGTGCATACATATTATTTTTATATTTATATATATACACATACATATTTATAAAACATTAAAAAGAGCATTGGTGGTTCAAGCATTTATTTCCCCCCCTCCCCCACGGAAAGAAAAAAAAAATAATAAAACAACAACAAAACAAAAAAAAAGACCCAAAAAAATTACACATTTAAAATTCAAAATGAGCTAGCAATGGCTTATAGTCCTAGTGTGCAATATGGAGATTACAAAAGGCTAGAATCCTCCCTGTCTTTTTTTTTTTGTCATTTTTGTTTTTTTAAAGTTATTTTTTTGCTACATTGGAAAACTTTTTATTTTTTTTTATTTTTTTTATTTTTTTTTCTTTACAAAATTCCTTCCACACAGACTTGAATCCAGTTGAGTTTGTGGCTAGAATGAACAATCTAGTCAATAGTTTTTGATTTCATGGTTTTGTTTGCTCTTCAGCAGTGAATGGGAGCAGACTCGGGAGGGTCCTTCTCAAGGTTTGCTTTTGGTTGGGTTTTAGCTTGGTTTGGACAGAACAGTTCCATTTCCTCCCTCCTCTTCCCCCCCTCTCTTTCCCTGGTCATTCTTTAAGCACAATAGCATTGTATTAACAGTCCTATTGATATGATCGCTCGAAGTGCGAACCCACCTCGCTGCAACAGGGATCTTTGTGCTGTTGAGGCCTCTGTTCAGAAAAGCACTTAAGCCTGGGCTTAAACCTGCGCCCTTTAGCCAGCATCTGCTTAAGAGTTTTGCCGAAATTAAAGCCTTCACATGGCAGAACAAACAGCTGGGTTTAACTTTCTTGACTTGTTGTTGTTGTGAACAGAGACATAGGAAGAGATTTACACAAACAAGACTTGGAGAAGGTGGAGTAAGGTGTGTTCTGGGGGTATGGCCAACCTGCTGGGTGGCGACTGCCCTGTGAGGGGCCAGGTCCTGCACCGGGGTTGCATTTAGCAGTAGCCTGTTGGGAAAGAAATGTCATTCCCTGTGCCGGCTCCTGGAGGTGACTGATAGAAGTTTGGGAGAAGGGCTGAGATGTCAAGAAGTAGGATGCCTCGGGGGAGAAAATGGTGTGCATAGATCAACACAAGGCCCTTCTGGCACGCTGAGCCACACAGAAGGGCTTGTGAAACAGGGCCCCGTCAGCGTGGATCATGGTGAGCTGCACCGGGATGATGGAAGGAATGTCCAGCGCCAGCCGGAGCGGGCAGAGCTACCGGTAGGTCTGTTACCCCTTTTCTCCACACACCTCTGCTCTCTCCCACTGTTGTGCAGTGAGTCAGTGGAGTCTGGTGAGGTACGAAAGGGGAGAGGTAAAACTGCTCCTACCAGCCGGGAAGCAGCCTGGCTCTCCTGGAGGGATACCAGTGGCCCAGGGAGCCCTGAGCCTCGCCACTGAAACCTCCCCCTCGCCTTCAGTCTTAGCACCCCCGAGGAAGGTTTTGTGCAAACCTGGCAGGATGCTGTCTCCAAGGCAGTCGGCTCGATCCTGCCTTCCACAGAAGTCACTGATACGCACGATGACTTCAGTGGTACAGAATAAACACATCTGGTTTCCAAGATGTGGCTTGTGTTACATCCAGGGGATTCCTCCTGGAGCCCATCGCCATGCTATCGAAGTACTGACTATGGGGAAGATGTACAGAACCTGCAGCAAATGCTGTTAAAGTAAAATCGGTTTGCCCCATCCCCTGCAGAAATTCCAGGGCCTCGTTCCCTCACTCTGCCCCAGGAACATGAGCTTCATCCTAGTCAAGAATCAGGTTGTGCTAGAAAACACAGAGCTGAGGGCAGGGGATATACCAAACAAAACAAAACCAAACAAACAAAAAACCCCTATGAAAACAAAAGCCACACAAATAGCTGACAGCGGAAAAGAACTCCAAAAAATTAAATAAACTACAACCTACCAATAACAATAGTTCATTTGTTTCCATTGGTTTCATCTCTACAAAATTCAAGTTAGAAGTCGGAATCGTGCAGCTCCGCTCAGTGCTGGGAGGGTGAAGTCAGCCTCAACCTCAGCATTGAGGCCCCCCCTCCCCTGCCCCCTCCCAACAAACCCTACATCGAAGGGAAAAACAAAGGAAAAAAAAAGTAAAAATTAAAAAAAGGAAAAAAAAAAGAGAAAAAATGAATTGCACACAATAAACCGTATCTAAGGGCTGGGCAGAGGGCAGGTGAGCCCCAGCCCCTGGCGTCGGTGGCTTCTCCTTTGTTCTATCTCTAGCAATAACCGTTACAGGAAAAATACTGTACAACTGCTGGTTTTTATCAGGTTTTTTGCCTTTTGCAACATTCTCTGCACATTCTGTCCCCACACTGACACAGCCGAGCTGCTGCCTTAGAGCCAGGCCTGAGCTGCACCACGTCCTTAGGGAAAGAATTAAAGGGAGGAAAAAACCCCAACCTAAACTTCTTGAGGCCTTTTTCTGTTCACGGGGGGAAACAGGATCCCTTGGAGCTGGGGGGGGCCTGCATGGTGTTAGAAAAGTAGGTATTTTATGTAAAAAAGGGACAAACTTCAGACACCAGGAACCTTCTGCTAGGCTGGAATACTTACAAACTGGCACTGAAATAACTAGCAGTTAATTCATACAGCTAGTCCTTCTGGAGCCCAGGTGGATGGAGACACAAGCCCTCTCTCAGACTCAAGTCAAACAGCTGCTGTCTCACCTGCCAGAGTCCAGGCAGCATCCTGTAGTGTGTGTTCCCAGCCTGGACTGGGGAAAGAGAGCAGGGAAGAGCTCGTCACCAGGGGAAGCCCAAGCCGCTGGATGTGGCAGGTTTCAGCACAGTACAGTTGCATTTGCTTATGCAGTGCCCAAGCTATTGGCCCTACTTGTCAGAATTTATCAGCACGGCACCAGAAATACTTTAATTCTTAGCTGGATTACACCTGCCCTCAGCTAGCCTCTCCCCCATCTTCAGTTCTCGGTGCTGCATGGGTTGCAGCAGCCTCATGTTTTGTAGCTGCAAAAACCATGATGGGGCCAATAGCTATAGACCAGCAGTGTCCCTCCTCCCACCCAGTGCTGAGCAAAAGACACCCCCCCCCCCCCCAGCCTGAGCAGGACATCCCACAGTGGGGTCCTGAATGTGTGCTGCCTTTGCCTCCCTCTTCAGCAGTGCCTTCACCCTCTCCCAGAGTCAGCAGAACACTGAGTCCATGCACACAGATGACAGGCTTGCCCATCCACGGTGAAAGGCTGGGGACGAGGGCTTGGGGACCAGGGACATACCTGCCACTGCACAACTGCCTGGTCAGAGAGCAAGTAGTTTTGAAGGCTGCTTTAACGGCTTAGGATGCTCTTCTGTGAGCACGGTGCTCCCTGTGCTGCACCGCGGGACAGTGTCAGCTCACAGCCTCCTGAGATGGGGATACTGAAGCACCACAAAAACGCCTCACCCTCAATAGAGAGGAAGCACCTGGGAGTTGGGATGAGATGGAACTGGATGGGAGATTAACCCCAGTCCTCCAGTGTGACAGACCCTTTAACTGCCTGCTGTGCTCTTCCCAAGTTACTTCAGCTAAATTCCCTACAGGCAGAACAGCAGGGATGAGGAGAGGTGTCCTACACAGAAAGTAAGTGTAGACTGAGAAAAGTTTTACAATATAAATAGCATTCAAAATTATTATCATTAATAGTAAAAAGGATCTGGAAGAACAGAGGAGTGTCCCATTCCCACCCCTGCTCATTCATTAATGCGTCCTCATTTATGTGACAATAAATACCCACTCCCACCCTTGCTGCCTGATGCCATTCATTTAATGCTGGAGAAAGAAGGGGGGAGGGGTGGAGAGAGAGAGCGAGCAAACACCCCTCACCCCTCCTTCCCACCCGCAAAGCTGAGCTACTTGTCCTTGTGACACCAACTCCCTGCGTGTTATATATGTGTGTGTGTGTGTACATTACATAGAGAGACACACACACAAATATATAGTTCTAAAATTCATTACCTGTTGTTCCCACCCGCCCCCTCCAAGAAGTGGAGATTATTATTAATATCGTACAACTGAAAACATGGAAAAACAAAACCCGGAAAGAAACATGGGGGGATAGAGCCCCACCCATAACAAAGGGTCCCCAGATGGGCACAGGCCCCACGCACCATGCAGGGAGCAAGGAAAAGCAGCTGGTACCCTCCAGGTTCATGTCCGTATAAAAGGGTGTTTCATGCTGCTTCCTGCCCCCATGTTCTGTGATTGCAGAATGAAGGGATGCAGCACCAGTCCTGCTGCCAACCTGTCTCTTACGGGGCCTGAGGAGGAGCGTGGGTTTCCTTCCTTCCTCTCTCTCTCGTGTGTGTGGCACGGAGTTTGTTTTCCACTTTCCATCCCAATCTTTGTTCTTGCCTCATAGGGGGTCCTCTTAGTAATTCTGTGTAAGAGCAAAACCAAACCACTGCTGCCGTTGTCTCTAAGATTAAGGAGAAGCTGCTGGAGCGACAGTAGAGGCTGGGGCAGCAGCTGGAGCTGGAGCAGGAGTTGGGGCTGGAGTAAGGGCTTGCTCGCCCTGTGGCATGGAAGCATCGCCCTGATCTGTGGAAGAAGCAGCCTCCTCTGGTTCTCCATCTTCTTTAGTGGCCAGGCCCTCAGGGTCAGGCAGCGACTCCTCAGAATCTGTGTTCAGGTCTTCCTCTTCATCATCCTCTTCATCATCATCATCGTCATCCTCCTCTTCATCATCCTCCTCTTCTTCATTCATTTCTTCCTCATCATCCTCTTCATCCTCTTGGGAAGAGTCATCCTCGTCCTCCACATCACCGGAGCCAGATGCCACTGCCCCCCGCTCCTGAGGTGCAGTCCCGGCTCTGCTCGGTGATGGACCTTCAGTGACTTCTGACTGCTTCTTGCTGAGGTCCAGGGAATCATTGAGGCCCACACCAGCTGCGTTCTGCAGGAAGAAGAGGGAGCTGTTGTTGTCAGTGCTGAGGTTGAGGGAGCTGTCCAGGTTGATGGAAGAGTTCTGGATGTCGTACTCAAGAGTGGAGTGGGCAAGGCCCTCGGGGCCAGGAGAGATGGCAGGAAGCTCCCCTCGCTCCTGCTTCTCATGTTTGCGCTTGTGCGAGTCCATCTGTGACATGCCCACCACCGTGTGTTTGCAGCCAGGGTAGGTGCAGTGGAAGTGGGAGCACTTGAGTTTGTACTTGCAGTCAGGCACCTCGC